TAGGTTTGAGGGAGACGACAGGTTCGTCCTCCCACGGAGGCTGTGATGGTTGGATGCTTGGAATGCACCACGTCCTTCTGCCTAGTTTTTCTAGTATGATGCGTCCGTGCCATGTCTTCTCCAGCCTGTTGTACTGACTGATCTTCATTTCTTGTGCGATCTCTTCGATGGTGTTGACCTGAACTGCTTTGTGCAGTTCCTTGATGGGTGTTATTTTTGGCAGGCCTGTGATAACCCTTATTGCGGACCTGTTGAGAACCTCGAGTTTCTCTCTTTGCGTCGCAGTGAGCCTAAGATAGTTTATTCCGTACACTGCTCTGGAAACGAGCAGTGCTCGGACTAATCTTCGGGGCAAATCCCCATGATTTGCTGGTAATCCGTTTGAGGAGGTTGAGTCCGTCCTTCCACTGAGCCTTAATTTGCTTCTGCCAGCTTGTAGCTCTACCGTCTTCGTCGAAAGTTAGGCCTAAAACCTTGATTCTGGGTTGTGGTTGTATGGGAGCACCGTTAAGGAATAGCTGGATGTTATGCTTGCCTCGGGCTCGTTTGCTAGTTATGGTCATATAGGCAGTCTTTTCGGTAGATATCTGCAGTCCCGTTTTTTTCATGAATTTGGCGGTGACGTTTAAGGCTTCTTGAAGTATGGCCTGTTGTTTCGAGGCGGTGCTTTAATAGTCCATAATGTGACATCATCAGCATATATAGTAAATCCTAGGTCATCGATCTCTTGGAGTTCGAAGGCCAGGTCCGTCATAGCCATGTTAAATAAAGTGGGGGATATTACCGCCCTTTGGGGGACTCCGATGTGGTTAGGTTTGGGGGTTCCTTTGGTGCGACCTATGATTACATGAAACTGCCTGTCCTTCAGGAATGCCTTGATGAAGTTGAGTATGCGTCCATGTAGTCCTCTTCTTTCCGCTGCGCGGACTACTGTGTCGTGAGGTATTGTGTCAAAAGCCTTTTTTATGTCGATGGCGACCATCGTTCTGGGCTTTGCATTGGCAGGGTTTTCGGTCATGTCCTTGTGTATAAGCGCCAGGCTGTCTTGAGTCGAGATGTTGGGACGAAACCCCGTCTGCATAGGGTGCAGTTTCCGGTATGTTTCGAGGATCCATGTGATTCGAGCTAGGACCATTCTTTCCATAAGCTTGCAGAAGTTCGAAGTGAGAGAAAATGGGCGGAGATTCCGGAGGTCGGGTGGAATTTTGCCTGGTTTTGTGATCGGAAGGACAGTGGATGTCTTCCATTCTGTCGGAATGATGCCCTCTTCCCAGATCCTGTTGATCCAGTCTAGAAGGTCGGCGGTGTCCTTCTCAGGCAGGTTTCGTAGCGCCGCAACCGTAACTCGGTCTGGCCCAGGTGCCGTGTTCGCCTTTGCTTTGGCGAGAGCTGCCTGCAGCTCTCCCATGGTGAATGGGAGAACCTCGTCGGTCGGTACTTGGATCTTGCTAGGCTCATAGCAGTCCGCTGGGTGTGCCGTTGTTGGCTGCGGAAAGAATATGTCTCCCGCGAGTTCTGCTACCTCTTCTTCCGTGAGTCCTAGACTGAGGGCTAGGTTGCCGCTGGTACCTACAGATCTAGTTTTACTCGCCATGCATTTGTACGTGCGCCATACTTTCTTCAGGCCCGTTTTCTCGTTGAATGAGCTGCAGTGTGACCTCCATCTATGCCGGCTTAACTCAAGTGTGTAGCGTCTGGCTCTGGCTGTGGCTAGGTTAAGCTTGATTCGTAGCTGTTTAGAGCTCTTCTTCTTCCGGTAGCGTTGTAGGGCTTGAAGCCGACTTGCCCATAGTTTAGGAGATGGAGGTCCGGGGTTGGGGCGTCGTCTTTTATGTTATAAGTTTCCATGGCTTGCTCGAGTGCCGTCTGGATCTTTTGGGCTAAGTCTTGGCCGGGGAGGTTGGCGATGACTTTTCGAAAGTTGTCCCATTTAACGAAGTGGGTCTTCCTCCGCGGTGATGTCTGGTTGTGTAGTTTGATGTGAATCGGAACGTGGTCGCTGCCCATGGAGTCTGGCGAGGCGTGCCAGGACATTCGGAGCCCCTTGGAGGCCCACGTTAGGTCCGGCGACGTGTCGGCCTGCGAAGGGTTTTGGGATATCCTTGTCGGCGTGTCTTTGTCGTTAAGAAGTACGAGATTATGAGTCTCGCACAACTTCTTGATGGACCTTCCTCTCCTGTTCGTCGTTTTGTATCCCCACACCGTGTGTCTCGCGTTAAAATCGCCACAAAGAATCGTTGGTGTTTTGTCCGTTAAAAGTTGGTCGAGCCATTTGCAGTCTTTGTCTTCCGTTATAGTTGGTCTGATATAGACATTAAAAACATTCAGGGTCTTGCTACCGATCTTGATCTTGATGCCGATCACCTCTTTATTATTATCGCTGATATTTGACGTGTCGATTTTTGCGTGGTGTACTCCTTTATGAACCAGTGTTGCAGCAATACCATAAGAACGGGGCGTGGCTCCTTTGTGCCTTGTTATGGTGGGCGTTGTGAATGTGGCATAGCCCGGAAGTGTTATGTTCTCACAATCCGCCTCTTGCAAGAGAATCATTGCTGGTTTTTCTACTCTCTTGTCTTGAAATCGAAGTTTAAGTTCCGCAGCTTTGGTTTGAAATCCTCTGCAGTTCCATTGCATGATCCAAGGCATATATTTCTTTTTGTCGGTGTGATTGCCTGTCTTCTGATGGGACTGATTATACATTGAGCTTGCTCAATAAGGTCCCTAACATTTGCTTCATTTCTTTTATCGAAGTTTCTACGGAGGTCATTCTTGCCTCTACCTTGCTTTGCCAGATGGCGAGCTCTACGGTTGCTGAGGGTGTTTCTGCCTGTTTGTTGGATGGCATGCCAAGTACCACCGGTGCGCCAGTATCGGTGAAACATATGGGAGTGCTCCATGCTCCCTTACTTGGTGTGGTTGGTATCACTGGGGACGGGCCCGGGGCTCCTTTTGTGGGGGCCGGTTTGTTTGTTTTGTTCTCTTGTGGAGGCGTGGCTGTGTGCGTCGTTCGCCTCTTCGGCGGAATCCTGCGCTTGGGGCAATCATTGCTGGTGGCCACATGAGAGCCTCCGCAGTTGTGGCATTTGGGTTGTAGCTCGCAGTCGCTGTCCTTGCTGTGGTCGTGTCCACACTTGGCGCAACGGCTAGTTTTATTGGGACAGACATCTGACTTATGTCCGCTTTCGTGACAGTTGAAGCAGACTACGGGTCGTGGTCTGTACGATGATACTGGGTAGGATTCGTATAAGAAACGTACGTATTTTGGAATGGACTTGCCTTCAAATATGATAAGGACGGTCCTGCCGGATCTGCCTATCACTCTGGCCGCAACAATCTTATTTGTTCGACACATGAGGTCTTGCATGAGAGTTTCGGGCGTTTCCTTATTGTCGGAGCCGTGCAGATAGATCACTCCCTTGACTTCATTGCTAGCCATAGCCATGTAAGGTGTGACCTCATACGTCTTGTCATCCTTTTTTATTTCTCCGATGGAGAGCAGCTTACTTGTGATGAGTGGATTCTTTGTGGTTATTGAAATCGTGTTGGATTTCTCGCTCATATGTACCGAGAAGCCATCTTTGTTGCGCACGCCGGTCTTCTCAATAGCGGCACAGATGTCTCTCCCGGTAAACCTATATACTTCGGCCTTACAGGTTGGCTTGAGCACAACTCTCTGCGTGGGTGCAGTGCGTGATGTAGTATTCTGCGCATTGTCTGAGCTGCGGTGCTTGCGCCTACGAGAGGGCTGCCATTCACCGTCGTTGCCTTTGTCTTCATCCATTGGTGTCATATTGTTTCCAACGTCGTCGTCTTTCTCGGGAGAATTTGCCGCTGCTTCGCCTTCGGAAGACGTGCTCGATTTGCTTTGAAGAAATGTTTGAATTTCTTGCTTGTGAGCCATGTACTCTTTTAGCTCTTGCTTGAGAGACATGAATTCTGCTACCTCTTCTTGGTTCTGCAAAAACGCGTTGAAGGTTTCTCGCAATTGCTGAAATTCAAGGTACATCTTCCACTCTGCTGGGTCCACGCTCAGTGGTGATTGCGCTGAGCTTTGCATCGCTGCGATGTTTTCAGTTGAGGGTGCCGGGTATGGATTCCTGGCTGCCTGGTTCATTACCTGCGTCTTTGTGAGGACGCGGATCTTGCCATTGAATGCCCTTCTCGGGGTGCAGTTCGGGTTCAGGAAGGCCTGGTCCTCAGCGTCCGCTGGTGAAGGGGGATACCCGGCTACGGCTTCGTCCAGGGTTAACGATGGGGTCCGGGGTGGAACCCCGTGGGGTTCGGATTTCAGCCGAACGAATGCTGGCTGGGGTAGGAAGTTAGGCCTAGTGGAGCGCTTTTCTACCTGCGACCTGCGTCGGCCATCGCGCCTACGATGCCCTCTGTGCGAGATTCGGCAAGTGCTGCCACCTGTCGGCCCTCTAGGAAAGCTTTTTCTGTCCTCATTTGAGGACACCATAAAGGACGGCAAGGCATGAGAACATAATATGTTGGGAAAAAAAACACTAAAAACATCTGTCCTCATGTGTGGACGTGATGCATGAGAGGGTTAATACAAACTGTTTAAAAGAAGCCTGGAAAATCAGCTCGCATCTCGTCTCTGAGCGCAGAGGATCAGATTATCATCCACATTATTGTGCCGCTAGTCTTGAGCCTGTTACACGAATGCTAACTTTAACGCACCCCACACTTCGGACGTGTTTCAATAGTTTCTTATGTTACTAAGTTAGTTGTTTCTGATTATGCTCAGCTAGATTCTATTTGAAACCATGTGTTCATTATCACTGATTAAATATTTAATGAACAAATATAGTTAATTAGTCAACTTGTCGTAACCATTCTTCCATCATATTATGTCACTCTGGGGACTCACCTGCGCAGACCGCTTTGAGGTACCTTTCACTGCTCTGCGCAGACTGCTTTGAGGTACCTTTCACTGTTTTTTTAAATATATATTTTTGAATTAAAATAAACACCCGGTATCTTTGTGACGCAAAATGCAACCTCCCGAATCCTTCGAGACTCTTCTGAAGGTGAAAATATTGCAACGTCATTCACCCGCCAGTTGAACCTTCTTTTTAAAACGCACTTTGTAGGTTTCTACACGGAAAACCACGGCATTGTAGGAAACTTCATGTACAACCAGGAACTTAATGTCTACTTCAAGATGGCGGCGAGCGAGAGCATAGAGCTACATTGGTGGAACCAGGCGAAGCCAATTTGGGTCAGCGCCGTACGACGAAACCTAATTGTCGACATGCACTGGTGGGACGGCTGCCAGGTGAATTTCAACGGGACCAAGCCAAACTTTTGTACCGAGTACAAGGGCACCTGGAGCACAGTGAACTCGGAAACAAAATACCTTGTGGAGAAGTCACTCAAAGCGATGAAGAAGAGTTCCTTTGACATGGCAATGTTCTATTACGAAGGCCCCGACAGTGCAGGTAGGTCCACGATGCAGACTAACGGCAGAAGCGTGTAGGATGTATCATATGCGGTGCCTAGAGTCACTACAATATGCTACATTTCAGAGTTACGACACTTTAGCCAGCTATTGGTGCTTAAAGCCATTGTTGCCAGTTATCTGAGACTGTACCTACAATGGCCGGAAATGCACTTCCGCCATTTAGAAATGATAAAATGGTCCATGAAAGAACAAGAGTATCGCCTGAGCTCCCTGACGCCGATCCAAAACTCGAGAAGTTGCATTTTCGAATCGTAGTAAAAGCCAATTGCGTCAGCCTTGCGTTAAGTCGTAGCCTCCTCTATACTCGCAAAGAATGACAGTTCGACGACGAAGACATAGAGTGCCCGGTCGCAGATTTGGATCGCGAAGATCTAGTAGCACAGCGCATTTCCCGGGGAGCCTGTAGTCAGCGCACAGCTTTTGCAATGGCGAGGACCCGAAACATGGATTTCAAACTATGGCCTTTGAGATGCCGAAGCAAGCGCGCTTCGGGATCTCGGAGGCCATGTTCAAACTCGATGAGAAAAGAAGCCGTAGCGCGAAGAACGGAAGGAGCACGAGTGTACATTCCATCGCTCTGAACAAGTGTGTTTGGGCGTCTCGCCGCAGCGGGGTGCCCTTTACATGCCTCTCCTCTCATCCGTTGTCTGCCGCTCTACCTTTTCACTTTCGGCGGCCGCGTCTCATGGCGTTCTGCCAGGCTTTGTCAGTACAGAGGAGGCTATGGTTGAGCACAAAACTGGCTTAGCCCACCAGAAAATTGATTGAGTGGACTGCAATGGGCATACATTAGATTTACTCGAAAAAAATAAGTGTAGCTGAGCTTAATAACGGGCAAAGAGTGACAATTTTAAATCAAGTTGGTGTCAGGTATGTTTAATAACACTTGAGCAGTTCTTAAAGGGATGCTGAACCGAAATCTAAATTCCACAAAACACGGCGGCAAAAGCGTGCAACGGGATGCTACAAACACCAAAACATCCCTCATATAGCGATGTCTCAAACAAATGAACGTATTTTTTTTTTTTTTTTTAAAAAGGAAGCGCGTTTGACAGATATGTTTACGTCTTGTTTCTCCGAGAAGGAGAGGGAACGGCCTCGCGACTTCTCCGCCTCGTCACCTTTAGGGCGCGAAGGGAAAGGGGAGGCAAAAGAGATATCGTGACGGTCACGCGCCTCATCGGCCTCCTTCAATCTCGACCCCTTTTTCCGAAAAGACGGCCGTCCATTCGAGATATCGCCTTACCAGTAGTGTTGTAGGGGCTGTCAGGCACGAAGCCAGGATTTTGTTTCGCGGCGGGGGGGGGGGGGGGGGGGGGGCGCTCATGACAAAATGCTGTATGAGAGAGAGGGGGAGAAGAGGTCCCAGCAAAAGGGAAGACTTCAGGGGGGCCCCATGCCCCCCCGTCCCCTGGCTACGTGCCTGGGGGTTGTAGCGTCCCGCCTACAGCTCCTGCATTGTTTTCTGAAATTCAAATTTTGGATTACCATCCTTTTAATATTCTGCAGAGTGGGATGATGCTGGCTCGCACACGCAGTCACAAATTGAGTCTCCCGACTTGTTTGCGCTTGTAATATTAGAGCAAGTTGAGTATAGATTAATGTGAGCGTGAAAAGAAACAAATCTTACGTGGAGGTGACCAATAATAACTATAAAGGTCTCTTCAAACAAAACAAAACTGTGTTGCGTACAAATAGAAGGCCCTGATATCTGGAATAAATTATTTTAAAGAACTTGATGGCCAATTTAGAATATATTTAATCTCTTCGTCTTAGCCCACAAAAGGTCGTTGTGTCCGCAGTACGGGAAAAGCGCTTGCTTGCTTGGCAAGCACAGTGAGATAGTTTTTAGGACTTTGCACAGTTAAAGCCTCTCGCTAAAATTGACGATTTGCGAACTGCAGCGCGCCACTTATTGTGCATCACCAAAAGCTTCATAATTTGAGGCTTTAGGCTGCAAAAAGGTTGCGAAATGAGGCTTAACTATGCATGAAACGCTCAGCGAAGGCTGAGAAAGCCATCGAACCCGTTTTAAAATACAGTGGAAGTTCAGTAGCGCCCTTTTGGCTGCCGTGATAATCCGTCTGAGCTCCTTTCTCTAATGGCAGTTATCTATTTTTTTTTGCTTGGTAGCCAAATGTTTATTTGATTAAAATCTAAAAACAAACAGGCTTTACCTTTCCCGCCAACTCATTTCTTGCAGCCATTGACGACACAGTGCGCCAGCATTATAGGAAATAAGGCGACCAAAGACGCTGCTGTTGCTTCTGCAGCAGGCTATACTTCGTTTCAGCTTGAGCCTAGATGCAGCCGATGATACAAAGCAATGGGACCAATCAAGAGCCATCAAAAGCACAAGTAACTACACATTTTCTAATTATGATTGGTTCAGCGATAATAGAACAGTCTCAGAAACATTGCCGAACTTCACGATGGTGCTCTTTTGACGGTCTATGATTTGTCTCATCAGCTTGTCGCGTTGGCTGGGTCTGTATACTTAAGGTGAAACGAAGTATCATAGCCTCCTATATACTGACAAAGTATCATAGCCTCCTATATACTGAATATCGTTGCACCGCTCCTTTAAAGGAGCGGTGCAACGATATCCGATTGGAATGTTTTTCACTTGACACGAGCTTACTGGCACACCTGACTCAAGGATACTCACACGCAACGCCACTGGCCAAGAGACTCCTTTGTTGCGGTGTGATTTCAAGGACAAAAGCGATCATTTTCATTCAATCTCTCCTTTGCAAAATTTGATGACGTAACGTGGGGATCGCAGTACACCCAAGTGACGATATTTGAATGCGGTTCATAGATTGGACCCGAGCATTGCGTGGGCACTCGACTTGGGCTCGTGATAATTGCTAGCTCGAGAAGCATTCGTGTAGTGTCACGTGTCCAATCGCTGCAACGACGACAACAGCCGAGCCATAACAATGTCTGGAAAAAAATTGGGTTGTGTGTGTGTTTATACAGCCTAGAACTTGGTCTGCCTCACAGGGGCGACGAGTCTCCCAGCTGTAGATGAGAAATTTAGCCAGTGCGGTACAGCCGCTAGCCTGGGGTCTTTAACGTGCATCACGCAGTAGTGATACACGACCGCACGCCGGTACGATGCTCATCCAGATCGAAACGGGCAGGGGTGGGGCTCGAACCCAGGATCCCTGGGTTCTGCAGCGCGAGCTTTCGCTCCACGTGCTCCAAGCTGGTGTGCGCTAGACCACTCGGCCACCGCCAAAGCTACTTCTAAAAGAACGTTCCCCCGAACGATGCTCGCACTGTACGAGCGCACGTGCTTGGCAGGGACACTGAAAGATCGGAAAACGCTCTTGTGGCCTCTGCTACAGTGTACCTCTGCTACGCTGGCACTTATGGTGAATTCGGGTGGTCGCCTCTCTCCTCTTACCTCGATTCAGCAGAGCGCCCCCTCCTCGCCGCCAGGCAAGGAGGGGGTGCTCGGGACCCTTTTTAGCCGATCACAACTGCTGGCTTCAGAGCGCTCCGAGATTCTCAGACCACTCACGGAAGTAAAATTTCTGGACATTGGTAATGCATCGAAAACAACACGGTCTTACAGCGTACGGTGAACGATTGAGAAATAATTTACGCTCGCAACGTGATGAAATAACGGTTGTGACGTAAATTGTTTTACGCATCGGCATGTAAAAAAAAAAGAGATCAGCAGTATGCGAATTGATTTTTGCAGAACAGAATGAAAGCCAACGCTTGGAAACAGTTGTCAACTCATCGCGTTTTCGTCAGTGAATGCGCTGCGATAGCGGCCATGCGTACGACAGAACAGGCAAATATAAAATGGTTAATAAACCGCATTTTTCTCACGGCGAAATATCGTGCAAGCGTCGCCATGTGACACAAATCACAGTGCATTATATTCGGCTGTCCCTTTATTTTACAACACAAATCTTTGAACGCACCTTTACCAAACCTGAAAATTTCTTGAAGCGACCACAAAACCCGGTAAAACAGCGACGAGCTCTGCCAGCTGTTTCTTCGTCGGTTAGGATTAGCGGATTCACCGCCGTGAGATGAACGATCTTGTGAAAGCACTGGGAATACTTCACACGTCGACTTTTCCTGTTACGGTCGCAAAGGAATGTCGTCCCGTCCGTCGTAATCCTCGTACCGTCAAATTCACAAGCACTTTGTAGAACCAGATATCAATCGCCGTCATGCCGTACCCCGCACACCACCCCAGACCACTGCCGGCCATCGTCAACAAAACCACGTGATCCCCGTCCAAGTACCACGTGACGCCTGCGCCGCTCCGCACTCCGACGGCTACAGACGGAGTGCCAGGGAGCGCTCTGAGAGGGAGAGGCGCCCTCGGAATGAACCTCCCGATCAGGCCAGAGCACTCTCTTTCAACCACCCGATCTCGCGCGCTCTGGAAAGAGCGCTCGAGAGCGCGCGGAAAGAACCACGCGAATTCGCCATTAGAATGGAACGGAGTATAGAAAACTGTAGTGGGAAAGAGTGATGACGCAAACGCGAACCAAATATTCTATTTTGCTCGGCTGGAGCGGGCCTATAGACGCTTTGCAGCAGCTGTGCATGAACGCCGCCATAACTGACCTTCAGTTTTTGTTTCCTCTTATTTCGTTTATTTCACTTCATCATTAACATAGCAGGCCAGGTTATTGCCATATTAGACTCAACTGTGTCCTTTTCTAAGGCATCGGCCTTTGTAGAGGATCGTCAAGTACCGTTTCAGTTGCTCGGCATCTCGGTAAGACAAGAGAAGGTCAGCAATGGCGGCTGTAATTTGGCGCGTGTGTAAAGCGTCTATTGGGTAACGGGTGAGAACGAAAGCCTTTGCAGCCACTCTATGGCTGCAAAGGCTCACGAATCTGCCCAAAAAGTCCTAGCTCCATTTACAAAATCGGACGTCTGTTCAAGAGTGGCGATATTGGGGAAATCGGCCGCAACGAGCCTCTGGAAAGAGGATATCAA